TAAAATTATTATGACAAATCGTTATTTCAAAAAAAAAAACATAACGATATTATAAGTAACGTGTTACTTTCTACTGTGTAAATTTCCTAATAATCGATTTTTTTTTAATGAAATGTCACTATAGAGATTTGCTTCTAAACAATCTTTTAGAACAAACAGCCACAGTGATTCTTTGTGTTATAGAAATGTTCATATTCCGAGTTTGTTTCGTTAAATAATGTTTGCGTTTTTCAATCGCATTCTATAACCGAGTTATTCAATTCCAGCACAAGTCGTAACCAAGAGTTAACAGAAATTATTTGAATTACTTGAACTATAAACTGAATTATAGCGATTTGATTAGTATCTACATGCAATTCAGAATTGTGTCACCTACATAGCTCTAGAATTTATATACCATACGATCTGCATCCATTCTGAGATCGAAGGTCCTGAGTCGTAAAGTTCCGGTGGATGCTCTGCAAACGCCTTAGTACGTCACCCCTGTGGGCGATACTTAAAAGTTTACTCCAGAAAGAAGCCTGCAAGCCCGCCGGTCAAGTACTCGGACACTCGTTCACCCGTCCACCAAACTTCAAGTGTAAGAAGACGCATTTCCGAGCGTATTCAAGCCCCTTTTTACGGCACACTTCGTCCCGGGGCGTAGTGTCAATCGTTCGCTATTCAAGTTTCACGCTAGACTGGCCGGTAGTTTACGGTAGAAGTGTCGGTGCTTTTCAAGTATTAAAATTTCCAGTGGGGATTGCCTGCGCGATTCTCTCGCATCTCTCTTCCCCCTTTTTCCGAGCATCGACGCGCAAAGTTTCTCCCCCGCGACTTTCCGCTGAAAAATTGCACTACGATTGGAAGGCTCTCGCACGTTAAAATGTAATCGGACGTTACGGGCAGAGCTACGATAAAGCTAGCTCGCGGGGGTGGATAATTACATAATACGATAGCTACGGCATTACTTATGCGTCGGATGTAAGGGAGATTTATGGCGCACCGATGTGACTCCGCGCGGCATCGCGTGCGCGTGATCAAATTAAAAGTCCGCCGTTTAAATACCGCGGATTCAATTAAAAATGATGCATTATACCGCGCGTATTTATTATACAGAACTTGTGCATCGACACGTAACGATATTTCTCTTCTAATTAAAGTGTGCTGAAAAAAAATGATCACAGTTGCGTTCACCGAAAATACTGCTATTACGGTACGTACATTCCGTGTAAACTCAGACACGTGTCTGTGCGCGCGCTTTTTTTTATTTAATGCCATATAAATTAGGACCATCCTGGTTCTCTCATTTCTCTTTTCGCCGGTGGTGAGAATTTTGCTCTTCCACTTGGCGAATTCATGGAACGCGTAGAAAGTAAGGGCTTTTCCGTGATATGTTTCTTAAATGCCGGTGGATGCAATCATAAAAAAAGACCACAGCGATACAAATCGTCGAATCAAATTTTTCATCGTGAAAAAAAAAAAGGAAATAACTCGTTCACACGCCACAATTCCTTTTTTTCGTTGCTATATTTTTCCGTTTGGAATCAAATTACACATACGTTATTTTTTTGCCTCGGTGCATCTAATTAATGTTATAATTTTTATTGTAAATACTTTTTCAATAAATTAACTATAGATCAATATTAAATTATTGCTATTCGCAATAAAGAGACATGCAAACTGCAATATTGCAATACTGACTGATGCAACTTTATTCTTCAGTAATTATACTTAATTAACGGATCCTTAACTCTCACTTAATTTCAAGTTAAATAAACTTAAGATGTAATTTATCGAAACATATTTAGTGGCAAATATGCGAGATGTTTCACGTTTTGCTGCAGCTTTTAATAGCGAATTGATTAAGAAGTTTCGATATCAATTTAATCACACAAAGATATCAAAATATCCTGTAATTTACTATATCCTTGCTATTTTCCATGTCATTTGCCATTTTCGGTATCAAAAGGAAAAGATCTAAAGAGAATGCAGATCATGCAACTTCGTATAAGTACTGCAATATTGTCAGTCGTCTCGCGTGAAAGTCGTCCATTTCATCGCCTATTCTCTTCCCCTGTTGTACCAGCTGTTGAGACAATACAGTTATGTGGACGCCACGTATCTGGCAACCTTCGGATTGTCTGGACACTGACTTGTACGAGATAGAGAGAAGGAATCGTAACTTAAGCGTTACAGAGCGCCGGATGTCGCGCATCTTACTGCCTGTGAATTATTGCGTCTATGCACAGGTCACGAAATGTAAATCGCCGAGAGACGGTTGGTTCCACCGAGATCGATGTTACTTTTATAGCCGAGATACATTGTACAGTCGCTGCGTAGCCACAGAGAAAGCGATTAAATTAAGCGAGGACAAATGACAAGATGCACATGTCCAAGATGGAGAGAGAATGCAAGAATACATTCGTGGATGGACGTAAATAAGACTTGAAGCCCTGCGATCATGAATTTTCGTGCATTTTCGCGAATAAACCGTGTCAAATGTTAAATATCTATTTATCTGGCCAGTATCGCGCAAAGACGAGTTGAATAAATATAGATGAATGTATAATGTCGAAATACTGCATGGTTATTCTTTTCTGCATAATAATCGCGTAGAAATAAAAAATATTTATCTTGGTTAATAGCTACGATTAGATATGCACATACAGATAGAAATGTCAACAACTTCCATAAATACATTCGAATCAATGTATTATATATAAAGTTTTATAACGTGCAGGAAATTGTATCTCTAAAAATGGATTTAAATTTTATCTAAGGGACACTTGTGAAATATATATTTGGCAGAAATATTTTAGGATGGACTGACAACCTCAGATTAACGAGAAAAGATTCGCATGAACATATATAATGAATATATATATATATATATATATATATATATGAATCTATACGAAAAATCGCTCTTCGAACTTTTTCCATTTCCAAAAACAGTCTTTCCACATAGCCTTTTGCACAATTAAAAAAATGTTGTAGATATTATTTAAATAGTATAATGATGAATAAATATATAGTATAGTTTAAGAATATATAGCTTCATGTGGTACACATCTTGACGGTGCACGCGAGTCGAATAAACCTAGCCAAGCGCGTCGCACACGTTTCATGAAAGATGCACGAGTGCATATTGTATTAGGGTACACACATGCGCTTAAAATAACGCGCTACATCGTCGAGAGCTTTCGCACGACGAGAGAGTGCAACATCTGAGCATGCAAATCCGCGCGAGAGTCGCCCTGTGAAAAGTTCGGTGCGAGAGAGATGAGACTCGTGCGAGAAAAACATTATCAGCCGTCGGCCTTTAACACATTCGAACTGCAAGCATACTATCCATCTCACTTTTTATCGCGATACGGTCATAATAATGAAGGATTTGACGCACACGTCGGCTACGAATCGTCTTTTTTCTCCATCTGCGTCTGCGTGGGATGGATACAAGCGCCCTTCTGGTATCAGAAATTCACGAGCCGGAATTTCCCACCCATGTGCTTAGAAAATTGTCACAGATTCTGTAATAAACTAATTATTACTAGTATGATTATTACTATTATTAGCAAGAGAATTTGAAATTTTTTTTGATTTTTCGAACGTAGAACAAAATGACATACAGTTTCGAACATGGTACATTTCTGAACTAAAATAAAATTTGAATTCAATTTTTGTAGTTTAAGTTTGATTTTTTTCTGTTTGGTGTCCTTTAATATCTCCCACACAATGAAAAATTAAGGTTACCAAATTTAAACCTTAAAAATTAAATTATTTTATTTCGTTCACAGATTGGAGCACGTTCGAAATTGTATACCGCCATCTATGGAGTATATAAAGATTCTAAAAAATTGCGATTATTTTGATAATCTTGAAAACTCTCGAAAGTTTTGAATGTCTCGAAACTTTTGAAAGTTTCAAGACTACAAAACCAACCAATGTTGGCTATATTGGCCATAACATTGGCCATACCGTAACTGGTTTAATAATAGTTATCTTTCACGACTCTTTCAAGACTTTCAACACGTTTCCCCAGTGCTAAAAACTTTCAAAAATATTTTTGTTTCAAATAATATTCTGAAAATTTTGTCATATGTAAAATGATTCCGATGTGTCTTAATCATATCATTAATTAACCCTTCATTACTCGTGTGGAATATTCAGAACACTTCAGCCTTATAAATTCGCTAAATGTATAATAATCGCTATTTATACATTAGGTATTACATTTAAAAATTTTTAATTTATCTAAAGAATGTACAATATAAAAGATTGTCAAAATTTTTATTTAATTGTAAAATCTGTAAATCATTGAGATATGATGTTAAGATGTCAGACACACTCCACGCGAGTAATTACGTCGAAAAAAATCACGCGAGTAATGTAGGATTAAATGTAGAATTAAATTGTTGTAAAATAGCTTGACAGAAAAATAGAAAGGGCTAATAGTTTATATATACATTTACTCCAATATAATATCGTAGAATGCCGTTTTTTAAGACTAAAAGAGAGGAAAATTGTTTCCGAAAAAAATGTAAGGACAACTCAGTTATTAATGAGACTGTGCCGAGACCAGCCGTATTATTTCGTCTTGCGATGCAATACACGAATGTGCCGACGTAAATTCTCGTTTGCATTGCATTGCTGTGGCAGGATGCAAGTGTTGATGTCGCGTGTAGGCGTGGGTGCATGCGTGCGTGCGTGAGTGAGTGAGCGTATGTGTAAGTTCACGCCGGGAGCTTTACTCTTTTGCGTTGATATTAAAGTTGTAACCGAGCCGCAGCGAGAAAAGAGGCCGAAAGGGAAAGAAAGTTGATGACGCGATGTTGAATGCAGCATGTGGTAAGGGTGAATGAGGAAGAGAGAGAGAGAGAGGGGTGGGGGTGGGGGTGAGGCAACCTGGCTGGTTGGCAAGCAGGGGTAACTGTCGAGCTATGTTTATTGCAACCCAGTTTGTAAAGCCCACTTTAAATGGAAATAACGTACCTCTCTCTGCTTCCTTTCTATCTCTGTCTTGACTCTCCTCTCCCCTCCCTGTCTCTTTCTCTCCCTTTGTTGCGGAAACAGAAGTTTTCACGTTCGAAGCGACTGCACCGACGCGTTCCATATATGCGCCCTGCATCTGCAGCTGCATCTAAGTTCGGCCGTTTGGGGACTCTTGGCGGCGGCTACTCTTCACGCGGGATCTGCTTTCTGTTCTCACGAAACAATAAATTGAGGGAACTAATTGGATAAAAGAGCGAGAGTGTGTATGTGCGAAACAAGTTCTACTTTTATACGATTTCTTTGTATATATAAGCAGAATGCACTTACGTTTCATTTAGAATTTTATTTCTAAAAGGAAATACAGTATGTACGAGTGAATTATTATATAGATATGTATATGTATTCCATTTCATTTCATAAATTTATATAAACAAAACGCACTATATTTCCAATGTTTCATCACTTGTTTACGAGCCATATGATTACTTCAGTTAAATAGATTGAAAAACTACGGTGAAACCAATGTCTCTTTATGCGTAGCGGTTTTCAAGCTATCGCCTGACGCAATTTTACGTATTTTGTGTATTGTAAGTTGCACATCGTTGCGCCGGTATTACCGGGGAATTTTGCGGGAAATGTAATATCGCGGTCGGATGCCGCGACGGGCTTGTCAGGTAGAGGTAATCCAACAGCAGGCTCAGTGCTACTCGTCTCTTTCTCGCATCAAAGGACGTCTGTGCGTCTGTTTGCGAAAAGTAAATTGGAGAGCGGATATAGCTGATAAAAAATTCCGCGATTCAAAAACGTCGCGAATAATCACGGGGATGTCACCGTTGCGACTTGAATTCTTTTATCCCCTGTGGTCTTCAATTTCGCTTGATATTTTTTCGCAATATGTAGCGAAATGCCTTTAACTTCTTTCGAATTTTTGAGAGTGTTAATCCTTAAACGCCTCAATGCGGAAATAATATAGTAGCGTATATCATAGCCAACAATTCGATCATTTATGATTTTTATAAAAATTAATATCTATATTGTAAAAATGTTTTTTTCAATCGAGACGCTAGATATAAAGTTAATTCTACAATGCGCTTTTTATTTTCTGTTTCTTGCTGTTTGTCTCTTGTCTTATTGGCCAAAAAGGTAAGAGATAAACAGAGACAAACAACAAGAAACAGGAAACAAAGAGCACATTGTAAAATTAGCCTTAAGGAACATAACATAGATAATCGAACAAATGTATGTGTCTTTAGTTATAAAAAAAAGTTTGTATTCAATGGAAAAAGCATTGAAAAAGCATTGAAAAAAGTGCTATATTGAAAAGGCGTTTAAGGATTAATATTTGTGCACATAAATGCACAACTTTTAGGCCAGTTCAAAACTTGTGTATTATCATTGATACGCATGGCTGTAGTTCGACATGACATCACCGTTTCAAGATGCGAAACGACTGCCGACCATGACTATAGCCGTCAGTGCTGCGCGATGTGTTAATATCGTTCGTGTTCGCGCACCGTCGTAATTATTTTAACAATTCTATAACACGCTAGTCGTTGCATGGGTACACCATGCCGGTTGTTAGAAAATTGCGTGCTTTTAATTATTGCGGTTGCGCTAAACCATTTCGTTAGCGCAACTTTTCCCTCGCGAGGCAAAGGTTCTTTTCTGGAGCATGACCAAGCTTGCGGGTTTATGACGAGCGAACATAAAAATACATGAACTACAAAAGAACGTCGCTACCTTTCCGCACGGTGAAAGAATCTTCTTGAGTTGCGCAAACCATGTTGTTATGTCGCATATATGGTTGACGGAATATGCACAAATATTCCAAATGCGCGTTTTGTAATATCTAAAGGTCTTCCTATATATACTCTATATGTATATATAAGTGTCTATATACATATATAGACGTAAATTTGCCTTGCGTTTATATAATATTTCGATCGTATGTGATTTCTTCAACTTTACGAATCGATAACGCCAAAACGTGTTAACGTGAAACGGTAAACGTCTTTTTTAAAAAACATGTTTAAGAGAAATTGATGGGAAAAGTGCCATAATTTTCGAGAAATCGCACGGAACTTCTGTCTTCAAGGAAGTAAAGTAATTAAAATAAATAAGTTAGTCAAAGTTTTGCTTCATAATTAGACCAGAGTACGATGATTAAAAAGTTACATTTCCGCTAAAATATTTCTTTGTTCGCATATTTAATTTCGGTCTCCCTACGGGAGTCTTCACATTCAATTTAAATCGTGTCCAACATTATGTTGAATAGACTTTTAATCGAAAAATGATTCATTCACTGCAGAACGAATATTGACTTGAAAAGTATTGTCTTCTGAGTCTTCTCTCTGACTGGCTTCTGATCTTCTTTCACTATTCGTATATGGCCAGCAAGCGTACACAAAAATTAATCTCAAGCTGACTGTTGGATGTGTAGCAGAAGAGTGTAATCCAGCTACAAAGGGTTAACATATCACGCGAGACGTTTCTGACAAAAAAAGGAAGAATATAAACTAACCGGTCGTATTAACCGCGTTGCAGGTGCTCGCGAATTTCACGACATTAATAAAAATACAGTGCGACTGCTGTAATGCAGACAGTTTCTCAAGTCCATTTACATTGAGAATTACGAAATATTACATTTTGTCGCAATCTGCACTCAGATTCACCTTCTTCAATGTATATAAAAAAAATTGATAAAAATACGCTCCTACATCTATCCTTTAGTTTTTTTTATCCACAAAATATTATATTATTTCAAAATTGATTTGTCCTTACAAAGATCGAAAATTCAAATTGCAAGAGATTGGAAACAAATAGCTTGTCTCATAAATTAAATTAGAGGATAATAAGTCATTATTCTCCTCTTTCGAGTAGATTTTATTAATATCTAAGCCAAGTTGACATATTTACTTATATTTATTTATCTATTACTTTTGTTTCTTTTTTCAGGTAAGTTTGCTTAGTAATCATCACACATATGTCGCTCTATTTGTATGGTAAGTGATTAGATTTGCAACAAAATATAATATTATTCTAATTTTGAGACAATAGTTGTTATTAAGTTTAGCCATTTCAGTACGATTTAAAAAAAAACATGTAAAATGCTTTTCGGGTTTGATCGAGCGATTTATATAAATTTTTATTACTACGTTTTTATTAATGACTCTTCATATTTTTTGTATATACATATGTATATATACGTGTAAACAAATTGTGTAAACAATATTAAAAATCTTTTAAAATAAATTATGTAATATATTAAAAATCATAATTAAAAATTAGACGTTACCATAAATGTATTGAAAAATTACAAGACCTAAAAGTATTTCGAAATAAATAATTGGAAACAGAAAACTTCTCAGAGACACGATAGATAGTAAAACATTTATCTTCTTTTAACCTCAAACGGTTTTTAACACGTATTTGTAATTTAAGAGATAGTTTACAAAGAGATACTTGATATTAAAAATTAATAACTTGCGGCGGAGAATGAATTTCCTTCGATGTTTTCGCTGAGAAAACGTTTGATTTCAAATTGATCAAAGAAACACATAAATAAAAGGTATCTTCACTAGACCGGAAACATTCAACACACAAGGAATTTTTGTCGGTAAAAAGCGCTGGGGTCTGATTCCGTGACTTCGATTGAGCTTAACGAGCAAACTTTCGCTTTGATAAGAAACGCTTGTGAATCGTTATACGACAACTGTCCCAAGATAGAAAGGAGGCACTGTGCCGAGAATAACGGGAAGGAAGAGGAAATTCATCCTATCATTCCTCATACCCTTTTTTTCCCTACTGTTTCTCCATCCTTATTTACCTCCGAGCGCACGCGCGTAACTCGAATGTACAGCGCAAAACTGGCTATTCAGAGCTTTAAGAAGATTCTCATAATCCAAATCACACAGGTGAGCCGTCTACTCGGCCGCGAATTGGATATTCAACCTAATTCTTGCGCGGCGAGGGACGCAATGTAACTTCGCTTAATTCCCAATCGGCTTAGCCTACATGCATCGCCCTCGGCACCGTATTCCCAGGACCATTCGGAGTTCTGCGATTTACAACTAATACTTGTAGGATTTATCACTTCTCCACATTTTGTTTTAGATTCAAGAATCACAGGCAGCGTCTTCGTGTTATCTTCTTGCGCTAAGATTTCTCTGTCGTTGACAGAGAAATATAAGGCACGCCCTGGAAATTTCGTTCGCGTTTCCCTCGTTTTCTTCTCCGTCCGAAATTCGCTCCTCTATTTGAGCGATTCCAGGGTGTTTCGAGAGGCGTTGCGCGCGCGAAAGTCGGCGGGATAACCGAGTTTACGATGCAAATTCCAGCAATAATTCACATCCGACAGTCGAACAGATATTTGCAATCCGCCGCTCCATTATTTATTTACGGATGGGGATATGAAGGAAAAAGTGCACCGAGGACTCCCGCACCGCCGGGCTCGTGAATAACGAAGCGCGAATTGGAAGCACCCGGAGGCGGTAGAGGATGAGGGTTGCGCGAAAGAGGCCAGATGAATAGAGCGGAAATGCGGGTCGAGGTTATAGCGCTGCGGTGTGCAGCCGTTGTTTCGACGGAAATGGAATTAACGTCTTCTCTCTCGCATCGAAAAAGAAAGAGAAGTTTTCTCGGACCCCCGCAGGACGAGAAACCGGTAATTAAATTCGCGATGGTCCGCTAGCTGCCGGCTGCTTTCGGGATATCTGATTATGTTAGACCGCTATTGCCGCATCTCGTCAGTCGTAATGCAAGGCAAAACGCCCGAGACGAAGCGACGATAAAGTGCAAGCAGAACGAACAAGGTACTCACCGTCGAACTTCATTTCTCGAGCTTCGCTCCTCATCGTGGGCTGCGGGTCGTCATTTACCGGGACGAATCGCTCGTTGAAAGCGCCGATGATCTCTGCAACAGATTTCACGGTTGCAAGTTATCCTTCGATAAAGATCTGATCGTTGCAAGCATCTTGAAGCGATATACAGGGTGTCCCAGACTTCGCATGACATCGGTTAATAGCAGATTCCTAAGGTTATTTCGAGACGAAAATCTTATTATCGAAACGTCGAGGCTACAATAGTTTTTAAGTGAAAAAGTAGTTTAAAATTAGCCATATTGAACTGCTCGAAATTTGCGCGCCCTGGTATGGCACATCGTAATGAAAGTGTTTAGGAGAATAGAAAAGAATAGAATTAATGCTTGAAAAGTTTTAGTATTAAGATTTTTGTCTCAAAATGATCTCAGAAACCTGCTATTAACGGATGTTATACGAAGTCTGGAATACCCTCGGTATATCTCGGTATATCTTGCGCACCCGTTCAACAATTCGGGTCGTTGTTATAAAGCTCTAGATATATCAAAGTAAGCGCAAAGATTCCCCATTTCGAACTTACTAACTACATCATATACCAATAATACTAAGCGCTTATTGGACTAATAGATACAGACAATTAGGTCGAAAATGACGGTCGAAATATAGTCAACAGGAAAGTTGTCGGTATTTCGGCTCAAATGAAAGGATTGCGCTACTTTGATATATCTATTCAAGCTTAGGCTGGCAAAACTCGCAAACAATTCGGTCTGTTTTAATAACGTCAATTCGGAAGTACAAATAAAGTTTGCTCGATCTCGATGGCTGTTAAAACGAAATCCAGCGAGAACATTCCAGCACAAAAGGGAGACCTGCGCGCCATGATTCTCGACAATTGAATTCGACACGACGACGACGGACGTACACGTGGTTAATCGCGTTAGGCCCGTGAGGAAAATTAAGTTCGCAGTTTCCACACGTGGACATGTGTGCCACATACATTGGACACATCGTAAGCGGTACATCAAAGGCCGCCAATGTGGGACTTCCATTAGGAGTGGTGCCGTTTATCGCGTAACAACCTCCACTATCGGGAAACGTGGCGCGCTGTTATGCGATTCCCCTCACGCGGAAACTTTGCACGACGATCCGCAAGAGTTTATCGTCGGTCCTGCCCGCGGCCGACAGCGTGGCCGGCAATTAACTTCACAAAAGTTCTCTCCTGTCGATGTGATCGGCAAAAAGACAACCGCGTGCGCATCGGTTGAAGTTTCTCTTCACGTTCAAGTTCTATCCTCTCGTAACTCTAAATCCTTTTTAGATCGCAGCGCAGAGTTTCTCTCCGACTGGTGTCCGTCGATGTTTGCTACACGATTGTATTTATAAGAAAAATTTTCGGAACACAGACGAGGCGCGTCCGTGTGTGTGTGTGTGTACGTGTGTGTAGGAACAACCCTGATATTCCTTTCGTCAGGTTCCAACCTCCGCTCCCCGGCGTGTACCAACGTCGTATTTTCCGGTAGGTAACAGCTGGAACTCGGCGACGATCTTCCGGTAAAGTTCGCGGGTAGATGGGTTAGCTAACGCGAAGTTGGCCGCTCCCTTCTTATCGCACGGCAACGATAAGTTTCAGTTAGGTCAGCGGGGGATAATCCGTGCGGCGCGCGGGGATGTATGTATATACATATATATACCATAATATATGTATATATACGTATGTATAATGTGTACGTATGTACATGTAACGCGACGCGGCGCGGTCGTATAACATAAGATTCGGAATGGTGGGCGACGTTGCATGCGCGACATAAATCATTAAGTTAGTGGTTCCTCGCATATCTAGCCGCTTTACGAGGGCGCGGCGACGTCGTTGCTCCTTTTGCGAAAGCTTTCCGCCGGACTTGCAGTTCGTTTCTATTTTTACGTCGTTAACCGCAAGCCCGATATCGCGACTTAGTGCACCGTTCCATTATGCTTCGCGCGAAATTTATTATGCCCGCGCGACTATCTCACCGCTGCGTGCCGGAAGGCCGGAAGGCCGGAAGGGCTCGACGGTGAGATGACCTGGGAAATCGGTAGCTAAAAGTGTACGGTGCTCGCAAAGCGCGCGGCTAAATGTAGTCCATTGTAAAAATGGAATGAATATAAAAAAAAGTTAGGATATATTCGTTTTCGTTATAAACGTTATAACGTTCAGCGGTGCGATGGTGTGTCTTATGACTTTACAAACTGCGTTTGTAAAGAATCGTTTTAATCAACTCGTTTTGTTTCTACGAGAAGACGATTATCGGCAAAATATATTATACTTTACATTATTCTTTAATTAAATTGATAAAAGTATAAATTAAAACGACTTAATTTGATGAGAAAATATATTATCATGAAAATTAAATTTCTTTACTTTATATTAATGAGTATAATGAATTTATCATTAATTATAGTGATATTATAAATGAAATTAGAAAGATAACGTTACAACTATATAAAAATGTTTTTTTAATTTAGTAAGTAATTAATAATATGTTATTTCCTATTTATACGCAATAATTTTGTAAATATTACATAATATTACTGTCCTTGAATTATTTCAAATCGTCGTTAATATTATATATGAAATGCTTATATATGAAATGCATATATAATGATATTAAGAAATTACTAAATAGATTCTCTTCGATATCAAGCGAAGTCGAAATTGGCTCGCAGAAATTTTCAACGAAATTTATTTCGGCGAAACTATTTTTCGGAATCACGATAATTTAACTCCCGGTCATGAAGGTTTCCATGACTGATCGAGGTGCATCGATTCTCGAACCCATCAAATCGAATGTAATATGACTGGCAGTCCCGAGATTGAATTAGCAGTCCCAATTAGGGATCTATTTTTATCGACAAGAGCTGGTTGCTAACTACGTTATCCTTCCTATACTACACTGTACTATAGCGAGGCGCGGCGATACGGATTTTACAACGTGTCCTCGTGTCGTACAGATCGAGTGGGCGTAACAGCTATGTCGTGTTAATTAGGAGTCGGTACGTTCTCGCACCCAAACACCAGCCAGCGGTAATTCCACTTTGGTCGTTTGCCGAGTCGCTATCTCTTCGTTGTTATATATTGTATTAATGTATATCAAACGCTAGACTGCAGAAATTATTGAAAATTTCAACTACGCTTTATGCTGATTTAGAATTAGTCTTTAACATGTCTACAAAGAAATAATAATCACTCTACATCACTAAATTGTTTCTAACAATTGACTTAATTTATGATTAAAAAAAATGATTTGAAAAAATGTTACAGAAGAACGATAAAATATATTCTTTTCAAAAATATATTAGAGCAAATCATACGAAATGTTTTTTTTTTTTATAAAATGCAACAAGAAAAAAGATTGTTGTTCCAGTTCACTTCCAGCATAAAAATATAATTCTACGTTCTGATCGTTTAATTGCATGTGCATAATTTCAGATATTTATTTAAAATTAATTCACCCAGAGTTGTTTTGTTTAATCTACAAGTAACTACGAGAAACATGCAGAGAAAACTGCGACAGTGACCGTTGCTACTTGCGGATTGATATGCGGAAAATTTGCATTAACGCGACGTGTGCCGCGACAAGTTAGATACCGGTTATGTTACGTTGGTTACATATGCATTTTATGGGGTTAACAAGTTACACAAGTGAATTGTTCGCCAGTACGGCATCGCGTTAAATTATTCCGCAGCGTCCTGCCATTATTCCTAAGCTAGTTTATCCAGCATCCATTTCATCAGGACCATTGCTTTCACTGAATTTTTCACCTCTGTCAAATTAAAGCAAATTCCTGTTTTTAACTCTAAAAAAAAAGTAACGTGATTTTTTTGAAAAATCCTCTCGTTATCAAAATGGTGCAACTGTCATAATAAAAATTATAAAACTAGCATTTAATAAATCGGAAAAAAAACATCATTTGATTTATAAAAAAAAAAAGAAGACATTTCTTGGTGTACAGAATCAGAAAATAAAGAATGAAAAACAAAATTAACGTACGAAATATTAATTATAAAATATTATTTAAGAATTAACAAAAATATTTGAATGAATTTTGTGCCCTTCGACAAGCCAGTCGTTCCATAAATCGAACTGTCGAACAATACTGGCCGTAATTGCAAACTGTGATTCAATTCTCGCGTCATACTCATCGATCGACTAGAAAATTGCATTAGGCAAGATTGTGTGTCTCGCCGTTAATACAACTGCAGCATTATTTGGAAACGATGCATGACGCTCGCGTCGATCACGTCGAAACAGTTTTACAGGCTTGGCCGAACTTTTCGGCCGTTTCCGTTCGGCACGTAAACGCGAATGTGAATGAAAACAAACGGGACACGATAGCGCCGCGCATCGAAACCATTCCACGTGTACTTCCGGTTGGTTGCTCTCTCGATTACGGCGAAATTCCACTGCATTGTAACGTGCACGTCGCATTGTAAGCGATATACCGTGTACGTATACGCACACTCGTGTATCGAGGAGGCACTTACGCATCGCGCAAGGTCGCCTTGGCGTACAAGTATGGGAGTTGGGTGAATCGCGTGCTCCGGCGACGATGTCGTGTTAATTACTCTACAGCCCGTTTCGTCGCCTTCCCAACACGAGGAGAAGCCACGACGGTCTCCGCTTCGAAACCCGTTAATCCGTCCGCTCATTGTTCCCAGCGGCGCACGTTCCCTAGTATTCGAGCACCCTGCTAATCCGCGAAAGTCGCGAACAAGGACGTCGGCCCGGGAATCGACAACGAAGGGGGAACAGGGAGAAAGGAAGCGACTGCAAAATGCTCTCCTCGGTCGACGTTAACCCTCGACTACTCACAACCAGCCTGGTTAACCATGCTCAAATTGGGGCGGCTTTCGCAGAGGATGATAGCGCCTAAAGCGACGGCTTTTAGACTAATACTTCCATGCAATTTCGATGGTGATTTCTCTCTGAAGGCATTTTCACTACGATTTATTCGAACAATTTAGAGTCATTTCTTTTCAGTGAAAATATTAAAAAATGTATATATGTATTATATATATAGATATGGATTAAAATAATATAAAATATATTATTACATC